TGTCATTGAAATAGTCCTGTCTTTGGAGTCATATACCCTTTAATACTCGGAGAATAATGACTTTGCTCCCCACCCTCCATTAATGTGGGAAGTCCCGTTTTCTGTGGGTTCCCCCCTCCAGGCATCTCTGGGTCTCATGCTCTGCTGTAAAGCTCACACTTACTCCCCTTGGTGAAAGCTGTGCCCCGGCTGCAACTTGAAGTAGGTACTGAAGATTTAGGAAGCTGAAGGAAATCCATAGCGAAGAGGCTGGTATCTACTGCCAAAGGGGGCCACGCCCAGAGGCCAGTGCTCAGCAACGCTTGGCCCATCTTGGGGAGGGAGACGTCTCTCCACCTACCTAATGCTGCCTGGAGATCCCCCACAAACATGTCCTACCCTGAGCCGGTCCTCTAGAGTCCTCCTTAACCACTCCAGGCCCACTGGCCTCAAGGCTTCTCCACTGCCCTCAGGGAAACCCCTCCACCCACTCTCAGAACTGTGCTTTGGCTGGGGGCTCACACAGCGATCACTGGGTCATTGGACATCAGTTTTCCCCAAGTCAGGGTCATTCCGTCTGAAATGCACTAGACACTGACTTGGGGAATCAGCTATTTGGAGAATCTGGGTTTAGCCAGATCTAGTCAACTCTGGCACAACATTCCTTAATTCCGTGTGGCCTGCACTGGCAAGCTGCTCTGAGACACCACTTGAACGAGAAACACACACGTGTGTATGCACTCCCGTCTGCACGACGCACAGCCCAAAACCACCCGCCGAGAAGAGAGGCTTCTACCTGCACCCCAAGCAGCCTTTGCGGAACTGTGCCACCCCGGTGGAGATGCAGGTCTCCCTTGCAGGCAGCGTCTTGGTTACACTCGCTCAGGCCTGGGCCTCCGGAATAAAGCTGCCACCTGAAGCCTCAAAGGTGAGCCAGAGCCGCGTCTGGCTTTGAAGTGACAGTGCTTCTGATCCTACCTCACGAGACTTCAAAGCGCAAAGGGCCACATTTCTGTCGTGACTCATGATTGAGGCACCATGTGACCTTTTCTGCAACAGCTTTGCAAGGAGGGTGTTATCTTGCAGGCTCCTGGCCTGGGGGGCAGTGCTCAGGCCTGAAGTGTGGCAGAAGAATGTCTTTTTGTCCTTCCACTTCAAGCTCCGGGAGTGCCTCTTGACCTGCTATCCACACTCCCTCAAATGGCCGCTCATGGCTTTGTGCCCTGGGCTCACCAGAGAAGCCAGCTCTGGGCGAAAAAAAGCCAGCAAGGCCTATGATGGTAGTTTCAGGGGAGTGCTCACCCCAGAAAAGGCACCTTTGGTGTGTCTTTGAGTCCTCTGTCCTCCTCAGTGGTGGAGATTGTCAAGTGGTCCCCGCCAGCCTTTATTTGGCCCTGGAAAGTTGCTGTCCTCAGTACAACTGACCCTTGAGGACAGACGAAGGGTGGTCTGGTGTGGGTGTCCCCACACAGCTCCTCCTCCTTAGGGGATGTCCCCACCCTTACCTCTTGACTGTTCTGCACGCCAGTCTCTCCTCACACCCACACAGTGGCTGGGCGCAATTTCTTTCCGCACTGGTCTATTAACCGAATCCTTTTTAAGCTCTAGGAATCTCTGCAACTGTTACCAGGTCTCAGTCATTTCAAGCACCTTTGCGATCTCCATCCCTTTGTGATCACTTGCTACAAGGGTGTTATCTTACGCTTCCAGACGTCTTTAGTATCCTGTGGCAGTATCAGTATCATGACTTTCAGCTTCTGAGGGTCCCCAGAGAGGTAATATAGTTGACAAATGCACCTTGTGAGCTGACATTCTCTGAGTCAAATCCTCCCTGGGGGCCAAGAGGAGGTGGTCACTACCCCCAAGGGGACATGGCCTACATGGGGGGTGGCTCCTAGATTAGTAGGAGATGGTTAGATGGAGCAAAGATGTCCCCCTTGGCCCTTAGCAACCAGGTCGTGATCAGCTGTGCTCAGGATTGTGGGGACCTGAGGACAGAGTGGCCCAGGCCAGAGCCTAGCAGTTCACAGCTTCCGGGAGCTCTCCACAGGCTAGCAAAAATCATTGCGAAGTGCAGAGAAGAACCTAGGAGAATCCACCGTGGGAAAGTCGGATTCCCACCATAGAAGGTCAGAGAAGGGAGGGAAGGGCCACCGTGGAAGACCTGTAGACACTGGCCCTGTATCTTCAGCCCCTCAGTTGGTTAGCAGGTCTCTTGTACTGGGCCCCCCACCCCCGTGTATGCAGAGCAGCCAGGGCCTGTGGAAGCAGCTGCAGTGTCACAGTGGCAGTGTGACAAGGTGGTGGTGGGACAAGGTGGCAGGGACAGGGTGGGGTCGACTGCAGCCGGGTATGTGGGGTCTGTGCAGCCTGGCTGCTACCACAGAGAACCAAGCACCCATGTAGATGTGGGGGAGTGGCAACTAGACCCCAAAGGATCTGGCCCCTGGTCGCCTGGGCAGGCCCAGCTGCGCTCCTGAGCAGGGAGGGCCACTCCCTGCAGCCCCACACTTGGTGGCCAGGTGGCTGCTGAAGAGACCAAGATTGTTGGGTGACCTGGCAGGGGCCATCTGGGGCCTGCTCTTCTCCGGGCCCAGTAAGCTTAGTCCAAGACAAGGTCACATGGCATCACATGAATCTATTTATTTAGCGAATCAGATTAATCAAGTCTTTTTTTCCAGTGCTAACCCTCCACCCCTCCTGTGCCGCTGGGCCCCACTGCTGATTATGGGCCAACTTGGGTTGCAGCCATGTGGGTCCAAACTCTCGGCCCTCCTGCTGAGCAGCCATAGTGGCCTGCAGCATGGACCTGTGCCCGCTCCCACAGACACGGGTCCCCATGGAGAAGAGGCCCTTCTTCCCACAGTGTTTTGGGACGGGTCAGGGGTCCTCAGGGCCCACCCATGGGTCCCAGTTGTCACATCACACTGAGACTGCTGATACCCTCGGAGGACCTACCTCTTTCATTCATGCACCTCATGGGTCCTGGCTCCCTCCCAGGTCCCAGTTGTCACATCACACTGAGACTGCTGATACCCTCCGAGGACCTACCTCTTTCAGTCATGCACCTCATGGGTCCTGGTCCCCTCCCTGTCCCTCCCTCCATGGTCAGTTCCTCTCAGCAGTCTGGAGCCCTTTCTGTCACCTGGACAGAGTCATGCTGCACGTAGATAAGATTTTATGTTTGAACATCGCTGGGGATGATAGGAGGTCAGGTCCACCCACCCCTGTCTCTTAGGAAGCACATCTGGCCCTAAGCACATTGGTAGACCCAAGTGCACATGAAGGGCATCACTCAGCTCCACCAGGCAGGCTCCCAACTCCTCGTGCAGAGAAAGAAGTGGGAGGAGGGTTGTCCCTAATTCCACCACCCATGGACTCTGACCCGAACGAGTCCCAAATGCCCTGTTGCATGCAAAAGTCTGGCTTCCTTAGAGTATCATGGGTGGTGTCTCTGTCTACGGTAGCCATGGGACAGGGCAGCCTGCAGGCAAGGAGAGGAGTGTGTCTGGGACTTGGGGCAGTCAGGCAGCCTTACCTCTGGGTCTGCAGAGCCTGACTCTGTGGCTGTGGTTCCTAGAGGCCCAGCCCAGGGGGCCTGAGCCTCTGATTCCTCTCGTCTGGTCTGGTCTGGTCACTCCTCCACATCCACTTCCACCCCTTCATTGACGCTCTCTTCCTCACCCTTCCCTCCATCCACCTAGGAGGAGGTGTACAGAGTGCCACCTGAGCACAGCAACAGTGGGGGCTGCTCCTGAGAAGGCAACTCCTGCCTGTCCATGGCTCTTAGGCCAGCCAGGAAAGGCTCTCAGGCAGGAAGCAGCTCGGCCAGGTTCCCCACCTATCCAGCACTCCCTGCAGGCTTCAAGCCTAGGGCCAATGCTCAGCTTCCCCTCCTTTTCCTCCTCCTCTTCCTCCTCCTCCCCACAGGTCCTGGTTTATCCAAATGCCTCTCTTCTTCCCTTCAGGCCGCCACCCCTCCCAAGCCCTTCCGCCCCCACTGAGCCCAGATCCTACAAGTAGACCGCAGTTGCTTTTCCTCCTAAAGACCTTGCTCACATGGAGTCTCATCAGTTACTCCTCACCCCACTCGCTCTGTCATGCAAAACCACCCCACAGTGGATCCTTCTCATCATTTCACTCTCCGGAGCAGCTGAGTCACTGGGAGGCTTCCGCTGTCACTTGCACTCCTCCAGATTCTTCGAGAAGCCATCCAGGAATGACTCAATTGTTTACAGTTTCCTGGGACCTGCAGGGACCCCCCGCCTTGCCTTCTTTCTCAAGGCCACACCCTTGTGCCTGGCTGCCTCATCTTCTCCCTCCCAACTGGCAGGGAGGAACGGTTCCATGGGCAGTGCCAACTGCCCAGCCAGGATGCAGGTGAGTAAGACAGCACCTCCTCCACCCTCCTATGGTGGAACCAAGGCAGGCCTGATTCTTTGCCGTTGTTTTCAAGCAAGCTAGATGGAATGAGCAGCTTCCCAGTCTGTTCAAGACAGAAAGCAGGTCAGGAGTCTCCCCTCTCCCAGGCCATCTCCCACTGCCTCTCCTCGCCCGGGGCCAGTACCAACACTCCCTGCTGTGGACACCCTGATGGTAGTGGGGGAGGGGTTGTGTGCTTCCAGCCCTGGGCCTGTCTTCTTCCTTCCCCAGGAGTGTTCTCTCCCCTCCCCTCATGGCTCTTGAATGTCATCAACACCCCCACTCAGTCATTCTGCAGTCTTCTCATGGGCACAGAAAGGTGTGGCTGGCTTCCTTCACCTTTCTGAGGCCCACTGGAAACATGGGGTGATCCATGCATACTTGCCCAGCCCCAACACCACTCTCACTTGCTGTCATCTCAGTGAGGCTTTTGGCAACACAGCTCCAGAAGGGACTGGAAAATGCAAGTCTGCTCCGTCCTGGGACACCCAAACTAAAAAGGGGCTTCATTCATCCCTACCACCCCACCTCTGCCCAAGACACTCTCCCCCATAACTGACTCTCTTGGCTCCCTCCTCTACGTCCTCTCCCTTTCTCTCTCTTTCTTTCCAGAACCTCCCAGTCGAACAGGAAAATGGGGAGAGTTGGAAACAGCCTTGTTCACATGGTCTCATTCTCTTTCTCAATTCTTCTGCTGTATAGTTTTCGGACTTAGAAATCAGTAATTGACCTGGTTTGTGGGTTCTTCAGAGATCCCTGAACACTGGGTGGTATATGTGGAGCTGTCTGGGCACTGGAAAAAAGGTCTTTGGGGTACAATGAGCAAAGCTAGCACTCAATGGGCATCAAAGGGAAGCACATCAGTAAAGATGGCGTGGATCATCCCTCCACATCAAAACCCTGGAACGCAATATCCGTTACTAGAATTCAGGGCCAGGGCTTCCTTCCCCTGAACAGGATGTCCTTCTGTTAGCCCCGAGAGATCGTGGTGTCCTGCAGGACCAGCTGGACCCTGGAAGGCCGGTGGGCCCTGATGTTCATGCGGAATTCTTTGATGACAAAGTAGTAGCAGAAAACATCCAGGCAGCAGTTGACGTTGGAGAAACACATGGACAATTGCAAGAAGAAGCTGATGCTCTGCTTGGCTCTGCACTCTACGATAAAGCCATTTCTCACCAGGAACTGAAGGAAGAACCCCAGGTGGACTGGGAGGAAGGAGACCACGAAGACAGCCAGGCTGACTGCGATGCTGTAGATGCAGGCTCTCTGCTGCACCCAGTCCTGGGTGTGGTCTCGGCGGCCCAGCAGGATGTGGATGCTCCTGGAGGAGCAGAAGCCCATGATGCCCATGGGAAGGAGGAAGCCAAACACCTCCAGTGGGAAGAAGACCTTGGCACTCCAGGTATCGTCAGACATGTTGTGGAAGCACATGTATTTTTCCACTTTCCCATGGAAACTATAGATAGGGATGCTCCCAGTCCACACCAGGACCCAAATGGTGCAGCAGATCCCAAAGATCTTCCTGGGGGACCGGAGGTGGTTGACCAGGAGTGGGTACCGGATGGCCAAGAACCGGTCCATGCTGATGAAGCAGATGGTGAAGACGCTTCCGTACATGCTGACGAAGTAAAGGCACTCCACCAGGGTGCACAGGAACGGGTAGGGGGACTGTACCTGGGACAGGGACATCTTGAATGGGAGGGAGAGCACCAGCAGCAGGTCAAAGACTGCCAGGTTGATCATGTAGATGGAGGTGGCAGCATAATCGGGCCACCTGTTCTTAAGGAAGGTGCTGAAGCCATGGATGGCCAGCAGGTTGAGGATCAGGCCCAGGACGAAGGTGGGGATGTGGACTGCAAACTGTAGGCTTTTCATCAGCTCATTGACGCCATCAAACAGGCAGTCACCACTGGTGTTTGGCTGACTCATGTTTCTTCCTACAACACCAACAGATCAGACGGGGCTCCTTTCACTCTCTTGAAGCGATAGATTCAAATGACTTTGTCAAGAATCACAAACACCTCCCCAGCATCATACAGCAATTCGTGCCCACTGAATCACAACTAGAATACAGAAAAGAAAAATTACCTTTAATCCTGCTGCCCAGATGCACATGTTACTTTTTGTGTATATCATTCCAGACTCGCTTTCTCACTCTCTTTCTACCATACACACATTTTTCTTTGACAAATATAGAACCCTGCTGTGCATGGACATCTATCTTTTAAATCAGAACTCCTTTTGTTGAAAGAAGTAAAAGCACATACCCAGACCCAAACAGGCTGAAGCAAAGAGAGAGTTTCACATAATGGAAAATATGGAAACTAGGGTAAGGCTGACTTCAGGAGCAACTGGACCAGGGATTCAAATGCTGTTTCCAGGATTCAGCTCCTCTTATCCCCTTTGTCCTCCCCCGACCCACTTTCCTGATGGTTGGACACAGTTAACCTGCAACCAGGGATGATTGGCACCAGAGCATTGCATTCCTCTGGACACAGTAGTTGGTTAGTTCATTGGCTCAGGGACAGACATTTGACTCTCCAAGAACATGATAAGCAACACAACTTTTGCTTGGGTTTCCAGGCAGAGGGTTGGAGTCCCTTGTCAGGGATTCATATTTGCCAAGATAAAAGGTCTGCAGCTGCTGCAGCCTCTTGTTCCCCAAAGGGAAAACCAGACAGAAAATGGAAAGATGTGGGAGAAAGGGCATTCCCAGAGGGAATGGAGTGGGGCCCTGAGGTCTCCACAGGGCGAGGAAAGGCCTTTAGTCAGGCAGAAAATTAGAAGTGGCCTCAGGGACAGGAGGACCAAGGCTATAGGTGTGGTTGCACAGGGGTGTGGTCCAAACCTGGCCAATTTGGGGTGAGGGGGTGAGTGCCATTGTAGGGTTCTTTATTAAGGTATGTAGCTCTAGAGCAGAACAAAACCAACTGTTCAACCCAGGCGTCCAGAACCAGGCTGGTAGAAAGATGACTCAAATATGACCCAACTTCCACCCTCTCCCCACTAGCCCACCTGTGCCCACCTCCCCACTCCCTCCTTTCTCACCCACTCTTCCCTCTCCCCACAAGTGAGGCCACGCTGCTGGTGTACTCGACTTGGACTGGCCTTAGATATGGAACATGCCACATTCACTAGAGCACTGGGGCATGGCATGGAAAGGACATTCATGCCTGGCGTCTTCCTTAACCACTTCGGCAGCAAGCAGCTGGGTGAGCAAGTGTAGCCGGGTCGTGCCGTGAGACCTGCCTTCCTGTGCTTCTCTCACCTTCCATGACTTCCTGACCAGTAGGGGCTAAGATCCCAAGATACTGATGTACCAGGCAGGAGACATCAGCATGGACTCCCACCAGAGAATTCTATACTAGAGACCACTGCAGCCATTATTATTATTTTTTTTTTTTTTTTGAGATAGAGTCTCCCTCTGTCGCCCAGGCTGGAGTGCAGTGGCACGATCTCGGCTCACTGCAACCTCTGCCTCCTAAGTTCAAGTGATTCTCCTGCCTCAGTCTCCTTCATAGCTGGGATTGCAGGCCTGCGCCACCACGCTCCACCATGCCCGGCTAATTTTTTGTATTTTCAGTAGAGATGAGGTTTCACCATGTTGACTAGGCTGGTCTCGAACTCCTGACCTCAGGTGATCCTCCCACCTCGGCCTCCCAAAGTGCTGGGATTACAGGCGGGAGGCCCCGCACCTGTTCTTAAAACTTCTGTTATTAATTAAAGCTTCTGTTATTATTTTTCATAGCTTGTTACTAATTTTTAAAGTATTCCATGCACTCAATAAGATATTCAAACAGAACAAAAGAACATGCATAGGAAAGTCAGCCTCCATTGTACCCTAAGGCCTCAACTGTCCTTTCTGAAGGCAGCATGGCTTACAGCTTCTTGCATACTCCTCCCAGACATTTTCTAAGTAGATGCATATATGCAAATACATGCATGCATACATATACGTGTATGACTTCTTTAAAATTTGGAAATAATATACATACAGCTTCTGTCCCTTGCTTTTTCAGTCAACAATGTTTCTTGGATGTTGGTCTATATCAGAATATATGAATGGCTTGTTTGCCTTCCATTATGTAGGTATACAAAAGCTCATTTAGTCAGTAGCCTATTCATAAACATTTAGGTTTCTAGTGTTTTACCAGGAAACAACGAATTCCACAATAAGCATTCCTGTGACTTATTTCTTTGCTGTGCTGCTATTGCTAACCGAATTCTCATTCTACTATTGGTTTTCATCACTACTGGGGGCCTGTGGGAGGAAAAAATTGGCGTATTTTTTAAGATCTTATCTGTAATACCATTCCCAAGCCCTCTCTGATCCCTAATGAAAAAGAAAACCGATATATATAGATAGATATTTATAGGTACATATATATCATCCACTGAGCACTATGCACAAAACATTTAACATGCATTACTTGATTTGGTGGCTCTAAAGATTCTGTGGTTTCCAATATGTTAACTTTTCTCACAGATTTATGTAAAGAGAGATCTAGGAAAATGTACTTCCTCTTATTCAAAGCCTTGGTGTCCTGTGGTCTGTGGGGATGGTGCCCCCTGGGGGTGTGCAGTAGTCACTGGTCCTACTCTGGATGCTCAGAATCTGCAAGCTGTGCTGGCCACCTCCTCACTAAACATGCTGAAATGGCCACAGGCCTAGCTCACAAAATTACTAGAATAGCTTGGAACTCACAAGGTAAATTTCAAAAATGATGAGAAAAGCAGGTCAAAGCCCAGTTCGGGTCTAAATATGAAATGTTGCAACACCAAAGAGGAAGATGGAATTGGCTTGGAGAAGTTGCCTTCAAGACCAGAAACAGCAGAAAACCAAGAACCGCAAAAATAAGAGTGAATATAAGTTTATGTGCAAAGATATCCAATAAGATTTTGAAAAAGGAACTGAGGACATCTATCTTTGTCTGGGTCACACTAACCAATTAAGAAAAAGCAGCCACCAATGACAAAAACTCAACATTCAGAGGCCCTTACTGTCAACTGTTACCAGCCGACTCCATGGGTGAGTCCAGCATATTGCTGGTGGTTCAAAGTGGCCAAGAAAAAAAATCAGTGATGCTCAAAGTTCAACCCAAACCCAGACGCAATGTGTGGTTGAATTGGGGCAACAAATGAATAACAACAGGAGGAAAGTGGTCTGACAGAAAGCACACAACCTTGGATGCTGGGATGAGTCTCCATTGACAGTAGCAGGTATATTCATAGATACAATTTGGCCATCAGTATTCCCCAGTAGGATTATTCTAAAGGTCACATTTGAATTACTGACAGACTTCAAATGGAAGCTTCTCAGAGGGTAGTCTTTGAAGCCAGAGAAGGCACTCTATGGGCTGGCAAGAAGAAATTAGGTTGAAAAAATACTGCTAGCTAATGGCAGAGTGAGAAGAGAATCTGAAAAATTAATCTGAATTCCTTCTGAAAGTCCAAGGAAACCATCTTTTTGAATCTTTTTCAAAAAAATCAGGAGCTTCACTGAAGTAAGATAAAAAGGCATCAACGCACTCCAAACTGCAGCAAGAGATGAAACAGTCATCCTTCTCAAAGAAGTTTGCTAATAAAAACCAGTCTACTTGTGGGTGGGGGAGGGGAACGGGGTAGGGGAACAGCAACTAGCACCATTTGACCTGTGGTATGGGGCCATTCCATTAGCAGCTCCTGTTCTGGCCAACCCAGGGGTCCACCCCAATCAAGCAATGGTACTATAGTTGGCTGGGTAGGAGGCTGAGTCCCTTCAGGTTCCCTGAGAAGCAGATGCTAAGACAGTGTTAGACAGCTCAGAGATTGCACAGGGGAAGTGTCCGTGAAGGATAGCGGGGAGAGGGAGCAGGAGGAGGTGGGGTGAGCCTTCAGACCACCTACAGGTCTGACTCTGTGGAAGGAGAGAGGGAAGGAAGGACAAGGTGGGAAGGACTTCAGACAGCAGTGCAGATTTCAGCCCTTCTTGGCCAAGCCATGGGGCATCTCTGAGCAAAGGCTGCCTCTTGGAGGAGCCCCACATCTGCAGAAATCGTCCTAGGCTAGTGCCTCTGCCGGGCTCAGACACTGTCTGGGAGCAGCCCAAGGAGAGTGGCATCAGCATCAATGTCACCATGGACCGGAAGCAGCAGAGCTGCACTGACTGTGGTCAGGGACCCTGGGAGTGGGCTTTCTGGAATTCCAGGGAGGTCTCAGCAGCACCCCTGCATAGCTGCCAAGGGGCCATCCCGATGCTGCCATTGATGTTGGGATCTGTGTCACAGGCAGCAGTGGAGACACTCTCAGTTTCCATCCCAGCAGCACCATCTGTGGAGTGCTGCCTTTCTACCATCTGCAGCAGGGATGGGTGGGCACCTTCGCCTCCTGGAGGACTGGAATGGGGCAGTCCCAGCCTCCTCCAGAAGGAAATAGCATTGAGTGAGCAAAGGTAATGGGTCAAGCAAATAGCATCTGTGAATGGAGTGAAAGGACCCCAAACCATTGTGAGTCAGCAGCAGCCAGGTGGGGCTAAATCGAACCGTGGAGTAAATGAGACAACACAGGAGATGAAGCTCCATGTTTCGTGCAAAAGCTATGCAGAGAGCCACTCCCAGGGGCCCTGCTGACACCTCTGAATGTCCCGCTGACATGTTTAAATGTCACCAAGACAGAGCCTCCCAAACATCCATGAATAAACAAACCAAGTTCCTTGGAAATCTCTGAAAAAATAAGTAACACCAGAAGAGCCTTGAGGGAGAAGATCTGGGTGCAAGAATTTCGTATCCAACAGGTGTTCCTGCATAAAGAATGCAAAAAGCAAGTCTCAGGTGGATGCGGCCTCTAGAAAAATAATCACCCCAAAACTTTAGGCCTCCAAGAGATCATTACTGAGAAGAGTGCAAGGATGAAAACATCAAGGTAGAAAAGCTTGGAACTGAGCATTGAATTGAAAGCAGGAAACTGTGGAAAGAGACATAAGGTACGATGAATATAGTTACAGATTTAAAATTAAAAGAAAAAAAACCAGAAGAGATTATCTGGCTGGACTAGTGACTCACACCTGTAATCCCAGCAATTTGGG